CTCTCCCCCTTCTGCTAGGATAGATCTGCACGTTCCCCCCCCCCAATAGCTAGCAATCCAAAACAGTCCAGTGGCTGCTTTCAGACCAAGTTTTATTCAGGTACAAGCTCTCCCTCCTTTGCGAGGACAGATCTGTACATCCCCCCCCCTTATAGCTAGCAATCCAAAACAGTCCAGTGGCACCTTTAAGACCTTTAAGTTTTATTCAGGTACAAGCTCTCCCTCCTCTGCGAGGACAGATCTGCACGTTCCCCCCACCCCCCGAATAGCTAGCAATCCAAAACAGTCCAGTGTAGCCTGAGCGGTGGGTGTTGCCTTCTGACACACTTCCGGTGATGTCAGGGGGTGCGGCATATGCAAATAAGTCATGCTAATGAGCTCCTGCACCTCTTTTTCTACGAAATGACCCCTGATGAAGGGCGGGGTGCACACACCACCCCTCTCCCTCCCCTCCTGCAAGATTTAAAGGTCCCTTCAGCCAATCAGCTGGAGGGTCCTTTAAGTCTTGCAGGAGGGGTAATTTATATCTACTCAGGAAGGTGGGGTAGGGCTGAGTCATCTTGCAGGAGTCCCCCAGGCTGTGGACATGCTAATGGAGGAGCTTTCCTGAGGAGGTTCTTTTGTGTATGGATTGTTTCCTGAGGAGGTTTCCTGTTTCCTGAGGAGGTTCTTTTGCATGTGGATTGGATGTTGAAATTCTAATCTTATCTGTAGTGCTATTGTCAGATGTAGAGCCTTTTGTGTTTTTCAGGACAGGAAGCCATGTCCTATTTATTTTTAAACTCTCTTCTTTCCTGTTGAAATGGTGTTTATGTTTATGAATTTCAATGGCTTCCCTGTGTAATCTGACATGGTAACTGGATGTGTTGTCCAGCCTTTCAGTGTCTTGGAACAAAATACGGTGTCCTGTTTGAGTTAGGCTATGTTCAGCCACTGCTGACTTTTCAGGTTAGCCAAGTCTGCAGTGTCTTTCATGTTCTTTTATTCTTTTCTGAATGCTACGCTGTGTGGTCTCGATGTAAACTTGTCCACAACTGCATGGTATGCGGTATACTCCTGCAGAAGTGAGGGGGTCTCTTCTGTCTTTTGCCCATCGTAGCATCTGTTGTATTTTTCTGGTGGGTCTGAATACTGTTTTTAAAGGATCCCTTTAAATACTTTTGGGAAGAAGCAGGGGAGCCTTTAAGGGGGGGCTGGCCCTTTAAGGAAGGGGGCAGAAGCCCCAACGGCCCCACCGTAGATATGGGCCAGCTGGCCATCCACGGAATGTCTTTGTGCACAGATGCATGCCTGCTCTCGTGAGAAGTTTGCCTGTGAATTAGGCGGGCTGTCACAGGTGAGCAACCCAAAGAAAAGTGCCCGGGGAAGAAACTCTGAGTCCAAGCAGGGAAGTCCGGAGCCAGGAATTCAGCCGAAGGGCTACCCCGGAGGAGCAAGTGGGGGGCAGAGGAGTCAGGCTCACAGGCACAGGCCCTGCAGAGCAGGAAGGAGAGGTGTGGCTGCCTGTGGGTCGCTTGGCAGTCCCCGTGACGGAGGCCGCACAGGGCATGGGTGGAACCGGCGGCTGCTTCCCAGGGCTTCCTCTAAGCTGTGGAGTCCTGTGAGCAGAGATTCCACTTTGTGAGCTCCTGGCGTTAAGGTTGTGAGCTGGCGACTTGGCTGCTGCATGAATTAGTTTACTCTGGAGCCCTTCTCCCTGAGCTGAGAGAAACGTGTGAGCTGGAGGCTAAAGAAATGTGAGCTAGCCTCACACTCACTCAGCTTAGAGGGAACACTGGCCGTGGTTGCACTTCTGCAACTTCACAAGTTATAAATCACAGTAATATCCCTAAATATGACACAGAGCAATGCGAAGTCTTTTCTTCTTCAGATCCCTGGCTGCCTGGCCAAAATCCCTGGCGATCTAGAGGATTCTGGCTTAGTGGCTCCCAAAGTGAGTCCACCCTCATGGGGATTGGGGGGTGGGGGTGGGGGAAGCTGATGAAACCAGAGGTTAAAACCAGGAAGGAGGCATCCAAGATGAATATCCTGAGGAAATTGCAGTAGCCTGGCTGGATGAACCCAAAGGAGGGGGGGAGAAGGAAGAGGAAGAAGAGGAGATAGGATTTATACCCCTGGTCCTTCACTTGGAGTCTCAGAGCAGCTGACAAACTCCTTTCCCTTCCCCTCCCCACAACAGACACCCTGTGAGGCAGGTGGGGCTGAGAGAGCTCTTGACAGAAACTGCTCTCTTTTCAAGGACAGCTCTGACAGAACTGTGGCTTGCCCAAGGTCATCCAGCAGGTGCAAGTGGAGGAGTGGGGAATCAAACCTGGTTCTCCCAGATTAGAGTCCACGCACTTAACCACTACACCAGACTGGAGGAGGAGGAGGAGATTGGATTTATACCCTGCCCTTCACTACCCGAAGGAATCTCAGAGCAGCTGACAAGCTCCTTTCCCTTCCCCTCCACACAACAGGCACCCTGTGATGCAGGTGGGGCTGAGAGAGCTCTTTCGAGGACTGCTCCTGGGAGAACACCTCTGACATAACTACAGCTTGCCCAAGGTCATCCAGCAGCTGCAAGTGGAGGAGTGGGGAATCAAACCAGTTCTCCCAGATTAGAGTCCGCACAATTAACCACGACACCAAACTGTTTCCAAGTCGTGAGGCTGCCCCACAGCTTACAGCTTATTTTGCTGGGCATAGAGCAGGGGTCACTGGGGGAGGGGGGGGGAGGTAGCTGTGAATTGCTTGCACTCTGCAGGGGATTGGGCTGTAGTGTAAAGGGGGGCAGTGCCCCATCAGCCATTTGCCATGCCCCTCCAATCGGCATTACAGGTGAGTTAGTGATTTACAGAGAATGCCAATAAAGGTTATTGGAATTGGATTTACAGAGGAAAGAAGGCTGAATTTACAGTTTCAGGTTCCAGTAACTGGAAGACGGCTCTCACACTTCCTTAATTCTGCAAACTGTCAAAGTTGCTAGGGAGAGCGTTTTTAGAAAGCTTATACAGAACAGGACTGTGGTCTGTGCCACAGTGCATGCTAGAGCCAGTTTGGTGCCGTGGTTAAGTGCCACTTGCAGCCCTGTCCCTTGAGCCAGTTTGGTGTCGTGGTTAAGTGCGCGGACTCTGGGAGAACCGGGTTTGATTCCCCACTTCTCCACTTGCAGCTGCTGGATGACCTTGGGCAAGCCATAATTCTGTCAGAGCTGTCCTTGAAAAAGAGCAGTTTCTGTCAGAGCTCTCTCCGCCCCACCCACCTCACAGGGTGCCTGTGGTGGGGAGGAGAAGGGAAAGGAGTTGGTGAGCCGCTCTGAGACACCTTTGGGTAGTGAAGGGCAGGGTATAAATCCAATCTCTTCTCTTCTTCATCTATATATTATTGATTTGTTGTGTGTTCTCTCAGGTTCTTACAGTATTGTTGTCCTTTTTTGTAATTCCATTTTTCTGCATTGCTTGACAAAGCATGTTTGATACCTTTTTTTGCATTTTTGTCATTTTTGTTTGCCTCGTCCTATTGCATTGTTGTTAGATCTCTCAGGCTGTTTGATCACAGTGTTCTATAACATGTAATCCGCCTTGAGTCTCAAGTAGAAAACTGGTAAATAACTAATAAAGTATATATACATTTAAAAATAAATAACGCATTTGCACGCAATGCTCCCTCTAAGCTGTGGAGTCTTGTGAGCAAAAATTCTCCTTTGTGAGCTACAGGCATTAAAGTTGTGAGCGAGCAATTTGGTTGCTGCATAAATTGAGTTTGCTCCGGAGCCCTCCTTCCTGAGCTGAGACAAAAAGGTGTGAGCCGGAGGCTAAAAAACTGTGAGCTGGCTCACACTGACTCGGCTTAGGGGGAACACTGTAAATTGCGCACACCACGTCCAATAAAATTTTTCTGGCCATGGCCCGGGCCTCATTGGACTAGATGACCCTGAGGGTCCCTTCCAGCTCTCCGTTTCTGGCTCTCAGAGGTCCATCTGCTGCCTCTGATTAGAACGTGTCGGGAAAAGCAGAAAGAGATTTTTTGCGTTTGCATTTAAGAAACCATCGGCGTTGAGGTTGAGGGGGAAGGGGCTGCCTGCCGGTGGCGAGGGGCTTCTCCAGGAAACCAGGTGGGCACGAGGACACGTAAAGCCACGTGCCACGCTCACGCCCGCTGCCTCCCTCTCCCTGCCTCTCTCCGACAGAGCGGCCAGTTTGAAGTGTGGAAGAGAGCCCTCAACGGCCACCAGTACGGGGTCGCGGTCCTGAACAGGGGCACGGGCGGGGCGCCCACGCCTTTCGTGACCAGCTTGGACTTGCTGGGCATCCTGGACTGCGAGAAGGGCTACAAGATCTACGACGTGCTGGACCGGTCCTTCGTGGGGGGCTATGGGCTCAATGCCACGCTCTCCTTCACGGTAGCCCCGACCGGGGTGGTGCTCCTCTTCCTCCGGCCGCTGTGCTGATCCTTCCTTGGCCCCCGAGGAGCTCTGCTGGTGCCGGGAAGTCTGGCAGTCGACGTTCCAAGAACCGTGACCCCCACTCCTGCCTGGGATGTTTCAGGGCGACTTGGGGCGTCCCACAGGACGGTCTGGATTTGGGGGTACAGGGAGAATATGCAAAGCTCCGCCCAGAGGAGCCCCACGGGCAGGTGAATGCCTTATTGGGTTAAGATAGCCCCCCCAAAAAAACAGAAAAGGGGAACCCAGGCTCTCTGGCAAAGCTTAGGCAAAGGAGGGAGGGCACCAAACCCTGCCAGCGAATCAATTGGCCAGGATCCATGCGATGCCGTGCGCACTATTCCCAACACGAGCCGATGAAATGTGAGTCCGGGTCGGCATGTCGGAAAGGGCCCTCAAGAGCGTGGGACGAGCCCGCCACGGATTTCCGGGCCCCTCCAAGGAAGCCCATTTTGCCCCCGTTTCTCGGTCAGGTTCCTTAGCTGCTTGCTGCTTCCTGGTCGGTCTGCCCCGCCACCCTCCAGAGGTTCCCAAAGGAAAGGAAACCGCCCTGGTTTAAATTGTCTGGCTGGATCCGCCCCCGCCCCCCCCCCCCTGCCCAGACTGCTTGCCTGCTTCTGGTTCAAGGAGGGGAAGAGGCCGGATTCTACATCGCTGTTCCTGCGCTTCTCTGGCTCAGCTCCGAACTGTTCCTCCGGTGCCCCTTCGTGCCCAAAAGACCCCCAATCAGCACCACGACACATCCTGTCCTGGGGTGGGGTGGGTGTGCGTGTCTCAAATATATGTCGATGAGTCTGTCTGATTGGAAAGTGGCTCTAGGCTTGCTTTCCGACATCCGCCTTTTTTTAATGGAATCAAAATGATCCACATCTTGATTTTTTCCGAGCTGTTGCTCTGCCAACCTGCTGGGGAGATGGCTTCTTTCACGGCAGGGCTTTCACCAGCAATGCTTTTCTGGAAAAGTCGAGCTGCGGCCTTTTCGGTTCTGGTCTCTACCGAGGACCACCGTGGCCGGCCAGTCCTGTGATCACGTGGCCACCAGTGGGCTTACAGGAGCGGCCTCGTGTGCCTTGTTTGGAATGTCGAAAGCAACCAATGGCGGACAAGTACGCGAGCGATGAATAAACTCGATTTTTGTCCTCAGTATCTGCATGCTCGTGTTGAAGTAAAATGCAATTGAAAAACAAGTGTGGTAACACAGTACACTGTAATCATGAAACAAGCAAACACTGTAAATAACGCAGACCAAAGAGTGCCCAAGTAATATACACAAAAGTGAAACCATTTACATAACTGTTGGGTATTACAAGTTGAAAACACTCAGTATATCTGGGGTTAAATGTTTGTTTATGTTACTCACAGGAAGTCACATGTTTCTCATGTAACCAATGTTCTTTAGATGTAGGAAGCCCGGGAATTTTCTCCCTGATCTAGGGATTTGATTGGGACTAAAGTGTCCAGGTCTATTACCATTTTATGGCTTCTCTTCCCGTCTTTGTTTGGTGTTCTGAAGAGGAAGAAGAGTAGCCACAATCTCTCTTCTAGTTTTGTTTTTTTAGAGTAAGGATGTAGCCGATTTTGCTCTGTTGTTATTTTCATCCCAGTTACCCTTACCATGCCAGAATTTAGTAAAAACTTTATATTTTAATCACACATGGACTCTGAGTCTGAATTATTTTACTCTGGCACTGCTGGACTATCTTATCTCTGCTAAATACCAATTTTTCAATATCTCACTATCACCCAACAATAACAGAATAACAGAGTACTAACAAGGAACCACATGTATCAGTAATAGCAAAATGACATCATGTAATACACAAGTACATAAGTCATACAGAGGAAACAGAAGACACAGGACGAGGACTCCGGATTTCAATCTTCGTTTCGATAGCTCTTCTTCAAGAACTTCATCATACTTCATAAAAGCACTCATGGCGTACAGAAGCCTTCAAAACAGTATATACAGGCAAAAATCCAATCCTTATATCAAAACAGTCAAAACCGGGCACGCAATCAGCAACAGAACATTTTCTTATATAGTCAGTGAGCCTTATGAAGTATGATGACGTTTTTGAAGAAGAGCTATCGAAACGAAGATTGAAATCCGGAGTCCTCGTCCTGCGTCTTCTGTTTCCTCTGTAGTACTTATGTACTTGTGTTATTACATGATGTAATTTTGCTATTACTGATATATGTGGTTCCTCGTTATTCCTTGTTAGTGTTGTGTTCTGTTATATAGACAGTTTCACTTTTGTGCATATTACTTGGGCACTCTTTGGTCTTGCATTATTTACAGTGCTTGCTTGTTTCTTGAAGTAAAATGCAAACATTGCACGGAGGACTGGATATGAGAGCCCCCTTTTTCGGAAGAGAACAGTCCCAGTGTGGAATAGAGGATGATATCAGGGGGGAACACACATACCCCAAAAACCCAAGCTCTGCCTTTAAGGAAGCCAAGGTGGAGCAAATCACTCTTCTCAACACAGCTGTGCAGGGAGAGGGGAGGATGCCGCAGCGGGGCACCCCATAGCGAGGGCTGGCTTCTCTGTGCGCTCTCCGCCCCTCCCCTCCTCGTGTGTTTCAGATTGCACAAGGAATACCTCTCATTCTGGCTACCTCTAGTTCTGTGTGTGGAGTAACTTGCTGCAAGCAACGGAAGGGGCGCTTGCCCAAAGGCACAGATCCCTGGCTTGTTGCTCCCCCAACCAGTGCATTGTTCTGCCGGCTGCGTAATCCACCTTGAGTCATAAAATCACAGAGTTGGAAGGAGTCCCTAGAGGCCATCTACTCCAACCCCCTGCTCAATGCAGGATCAGCCTAGAGCATCCCTGACAGGTGTTTGTCCAGCCACTGCTTGAAGACTGCCAGGGAGGGGGGAGCTCACCACCTCCCGAGGCTGCGGATTCCACTGCTGCACAACTCTGACCGTGAAAAGGCTTTTTCCTAGTATCCAGCCGGTGCTTTCCTGCCCTTCATTTAAACCTGTAATGGCAAGTCCTCTCCTCGGCTGCCCACAGGAATAGCTCCCTGCCTTCTTCTAAGTGACAGCCCTTCCAGTACTTCCAAGAGAGCCATCCTGTCCCTCTTCAACCTCCTCAACCTCCTCTTCTCCACACCGAACATGCCCAGGTCCTTCAGCCTTTCCTCACAGGGCTTCTTGGTCTCCTCTCAAGAAAAAATGTGGGTCTTCAACAGCATTTAAAAAAAAAAAAACTGCAAGGAAGGAGGGTTGTCAGCTGGGGTTTGGGAAACACCTGGAGATTTGGGTGTGTGTTTGTGTGCGCTTGGAGAGGGCTTTGGGGAGGGGGGGACCTCAGACGGGTTTGATGCCACCCTCCCAGGGCAGCAGATCACAGTCGTCTGGAGAGGCGTTGTGAAACGGGGGGGGGGGTTTTCCTCCCGGCCCCACCTGGAGGTTGGCAAGCCTACCTGGGACGCAGCCGCTGCCCGTGGCGGCCCGCAGACTGGGACGTTCTTTCCCCACCCACCTCTCCCTCCCTCCCAGGAGCCCTCAGCGACCCCAGCCGGCCCCTCGGGACCTTCGACGCACCCCGCCGGCCGGATGAGTCCCGGTGGTTCCCCCCCCCCTCCCGGCAGAGCCTTGCCCAGCCAGGGCCGGCCCAG